TTTTCCCAACACCATTTATTGAAAAGACTGTCTTTACTCCATTCTATGCTCTTGTTGTACTATTTTTGCTTACCTGACTACCATCCCCCATAGTTTAGCTTTTTCCAGAATGTCATATAGTTGGAATCATATAGTATGTAGCCTTTTCAGATTAGCTTCTTTCACCTAGTAATATGCATTTAAGTTTCCTCCATAGATTCTTTCTTCTTAGCACTGAATAATATCATATTGCATTATCTGATATACCACATAGTTTATTCATCCACCACCTACTGAAGGACATCTTGGTTGCTTCCAAGTTTTAGCAATTATGAATAAACCTTCTATAAACATCCATGTGCAAGTTTAGTGTGGATATAAATGTTCAACTCATTTGGGTAAATACCGAGGAATGTGACTGCTGGGTCTCATGGTAAGAATATGTTTAGTATTGTAGGAAACCACCCTACAGTCTGCTAAAGAGGCTATACTATTTTGCATTCCCACTAGCAATGAATAAGGGTTCCTGTTGGCCTACATCCTCTGCAGCATTTTGTACTGTCACTGCTTTGTAGTGAATCCCAACTCACTTTTAAGTACAGGTTAGTCAGACATCTTTTACTTAAAAATAACTCTTACACAAATGTAATCGAATGTAAAATGAAAAGTAAAATCTGCCAGAGAGCCAGATCAATATTAAACACAGAAACTTGGGTTTGTAGGGCTTTTGTGAAACCCCTTGAAACTATTCACAGCAAAACCACAACCTTGGACCAGGAAAGAGTGAAGTCTTGGAAGAAGAGCCACTTACAACTTGTATTGAAATGTGTTTAAAGCACACTGGGAACAAGTTTGCAATTTTCTTGTTAAAATCAGAAGCAGAACAGGAACGAGGTTGCATAAAATATGAAAGGTGAGAAAAATAAATGCAAGCAGAATACCTAACAGCTCTATAGACTGCAAATATTTGGTAGCCCCTGCTTCTATTTGAAAGCAAACAAAGCTTTTATTAAACCCCTTTTCTTTATTAGAAGAACCCCAATTCTCCAACAATTCATTCAGATTGTTAACTCTTCTTTTATACCTAAAGAGTCCAATCAGGACATTTCTGTGTTTTCACCAGGTAAATCCATGTCTGATGAACAGTTGGATCTATTCGATCTAAGCTGGTTAGCAGTAATAAAGGTCAGTAGGGAATCTTGAGAAAGTTATGGGAGAATAAATATTTGACTTGCCTAACTAAAGGATACAGGAGATATTAACTTGGAGAAACAGGGCTCTCTGAATTTCATCTTTCCTGTCTTTAAAGTGATTGGGCTCCACAAAGAGAACCTCAAGTAGAATTTCAAAACATCTTTCTTCTTCTTTTGTCTGTTGAAGCAGACTCTCTGATTTCAGGTTTCCTGAGTGTTTTAGTTTTACCTTTTAAAAATGCTACTCTGAATTCTGGAAAGACAGACACATGCAGAGTGACAGAGCTGCCAATATTTGCTTACACAATAATGAACTTTCCCTCTAGGAGCCCCACTATGTTCTTAGGGTAAGGAATCAAATTTTATATATTTGTGCATGGGTATGGTCCCTAGGCCTGGCCTATGAACAGGGCCATCTTCCCCAGCTGCCTGCAGATGGCCCTGCCTCCCGTCACCACCCACCCCCAGTTCCCCGTTCACCATCAAGTGATTGGTGCCTGACAGCCACGGGAAGGGACCGAGAGGTCAGCTGTTACCACCCACTTGATGGTTCCGCCCCTGCCACAGGTGGCCATTAGGCAATTGGAGCCTTCCGGCTGGGGAAAGTGTGCCTCATAGTGACTGGTCCAGTGGTTGTTCTGGTCACTCTGCAGTTAGGGTTAATTTGCATATTACCCTTTTATTATATAAGATAGAGGCCTGGTGCATGGGTAGGGGCTAGCTGGCCTGCCCTGAAGGGGGCCCCGGATCAGGGTGGGGGGTCCCTGCTGGGAAGTGGGGCCAGCTTGGGGGAGGGGCCGTGGGTGGTTTATAGGCCGGCCACACCCCTGGCTTTGTCAGGAAGGACTCCTGGAATGACGTCCGGTCTATCCAGTCTAATTAGCATATTACCATTTTATTAGTATAGATCCCTCCTGGCTCTAGCATGGTGCGGGGCAGTCAGGGGGGCGGGGGGGGGGGCGGGAAGTAACCATTACTAAACACTCTTGTGACCTTCTTGTAACAAAGGTCTACTCTCCAGGGTAAAATACTTCACCAGAACATAATTCTGAAATCTTATCCTGGATGGGAAGGGGAATTTGTCCGCAATCATCTCCTACAGCTTTCCTGGCCTCTCACCTAAAGGGATGAGAGAGAGATAATAATCAGAGAACAGGGCTTTAAGGAAATAGATTAGGAATGTTGCAGTCTAGGAAAGGAGTAGCAGGAAAGAAAGAAAATATGCCACTGGAGGGACCAAAGCATTTGTAAAGGCCACAGAACTGAGACACAGACCCTATTAAAGACTGAAACTTAATCAGAAAGTTGTAGAATGCGTCCTGTCCCTCATATCCTACAGCCAAACCAACAAAGCTCCAATCTATATAACAATGGGTAAGAACTAAAAAAGATGCAAGAAACAAGACTCACCTGGCCAGTGTGGCTCAATGGTTGAGCAGTGACTCATGAACCAAGAAGTCCCGGTTCGATTCCTGGTCAGGATACATGCCCTGGTTGCAGGCTCGATCCCAAGTATGGGGCATGCAGGAGGTAGCTGATCAATGTTTCTTTCTCATCGATGTTTCTATATCTCTATCCCTCTCCCTCTCTCTCTAAAATAAATACAAACATATTTTTTTAAAAAAGAAACACTCTCTGAGAAGCCCCAAAGCTAAGATGGGAAATAAAAATAAGGACATGAGACGATTTTGAAGATTCTAGTACCTATAGCTACAATAAACATTTAACACAGCCCACCTCTTATTCAGGTTAACATAAATCCTCACACTCAAAGACTATTTACCCCAATTTTATTACTCAATACAACTACCTTTCAACAACAAAAAAAGTACAAAGCTTACCAGAAGGCAATAAATAGTCTGAAGAGACAAAGCAAACATCAAAACTATACTCAGATATGAGACAGATGTGGAATATCAGACAAATAATTTAATATAACCATGAGTAATATGTCTTTAATGGGTAAAGTATATAACATAAAAGAACAAATGTGTATTGTAAGCAGAGATATAGAAACTCTAAGAAATAATCAAAGAAATTCTAGAAATAAAAAAAATAAAATACAAACAGAAACAGAAGTGCCTTGACTGGCTCATTAGTAGATGCAACACATCTGAAGAAAAACTTGAAGATAGGTCAATAGAAACTTTCCAAAGTGAAATGCAAAGAAAATAAAGAAAAAGCAGAACAGAATATCCAAGAACTGTGGAACAATATAAAAAATGTAACATATATGTAATTAGAATACCAGAAGAAGAAAGAGAGAATCTAGCAGAGAAAACATTTAAAGTAATAATTGTGAAGAACTTTCCAAATTAATGACAGATACATCACAGATTCAGGAATATCAGAGAACACTAACCAACGTAAATTTTGTAAAAGCTATATTTAGAAATAGTATATTCAATCTGCACATAAACAAAGGCAATGAAAAAATCTGGAAGGAAGTCAGGAAAAGAAAATACCTTATTTATAGAGAAATAATGAGAAGAATTACAGTGTGAACTTCTTGGCAGAAAACATGTAGCAATAAGAGAGTGGTATGAAGTATTTAAGTGTTGGAAAAAACTTCTCCAATCTAGAATTCTACATCCAGTGAAGAAACCATCAACAAAACAAGAAAGCCCGCTGCATGGGAGAACATATTTGCCAATGTTATATTCGATAAGGGTTTAATCTCCAAAATTTATAGGGAACTCGTACAACTTAACAAAAAGAAGATAAACAATCCAATCTAAAAATGGGCAAAAGACCTAAATAGACCCCTTATGAAAGAGGATATACAGAAGGCCAAGAGACATATGAAAACATGCTCAAAGTCACTAATTATCCAAGAGTTGCAAATCAAAATGACAATGAGGTACCATCTCACACCTGTCAGAATGGCTATCATCAGCAAATTAACAAAAGACAAGTGCTGGCAAGGATGCGGAGTAAAAGGAACCCTTGTGCACTGCTGGTGGGAATGCCGACTGGTGCAGCCACTGTGGAAAACAGTATGGAGTTTCCTCAAAAAATTAAAAATGGAACTTCCACTTGACCCAGTGATCCCACTTCTAGGAATATATCTCAAGAAACTAGAAACACCAATCAGAAAGGATATATGCACCCCTATGTTCATAGCAGCACAATTTACAATAGCTAAGATTTGGAAACAGCCTAAGTGCCCATCAGCAGATGAGTGGATTAGAAATCTGTTTTACATCTACACAATTGAATACTACTCTGCTATAAAAAAGAAGGGGCTCTTACCATTTGCAACAGCATGGATGGAACTGGAGAGCATTATGCTGAGTGAAATAAATCAGTCGGGGAAAGATAAATATCACATGATCTCACTCATTTGTGGAATATAATGAAAATAAACTGATGAACTAAAATAGGTCCAGATACATAGAAGTATCGAACAGACCATCCAACTTCAGGAGGCATGGGGGAGGGTAGTGGGGGGGGGAGGATAGATCAACCAAAGGACTTGTATGCATGCATATAAGTGTAACCCATGGACACAGTCAATGGGGGGGATGAGGGCATGTGCCAGGGGGGAGGGGGTGGGAACAAGTGGGGAGAGGTCAATGAAGGAAAAAGGATTCATATGTAATACTTTAAACAATAAAGAACTTTTTAAAAACAATGAAGGAGAAATAAAGCCTTTATAAGGGGAAAAAATGAGAAATAATTGCCAGTAAACCTGCCCTAACAGTAAGATCTTTAGGTATAATAAATAACATATAATATATGTTATATATATACATTTATATATATATATATAAATTTATATATAAAAAAACTTCTGATATATATATATATATATATATATATCAGAAGTTTTTTTTGTCACAAATAGGATAAGGTTTATTGGCGACTTGGTGTGTGCTTTAAAAAATGTCTCTATTAATATGTTAACAAGAAAAAAAATTCCAAGCACATTTCTGTTTCGGGTTTTGAATTTTCCAGCAAGAGTTGGTGAAATCAACAGGGTGTTAAAACAAAACCCAGGAAAAATCAGTCAGTTTTTTCCAGTTGCCTGCATTGTTGCTTTCTAGTTACCTTGAATTTGATTCTGAATTAGCTGAGGACAACATGACGGTCAAAGGCCGACTTCCACTGCTCTTGAACTTGAAGCTTCCAGCGCTGCTGGGCATACTCTACCTTGTTCAGCACATTGGCTTGAGTGCGGGAGCGGGCCAGCACATCGTGGGCATTTGCAAATGGCTGGTGATCCCCAACATCATCATCACTCTGTATTAATTGTGAGTGTCCAAACAGGCGTCTCTTCAGTATGGGCTCAACCAGAGTAAGGTACACCATGTACAGAAGTAGAAGACCCAAAATGGACAGGTAAATTATAACGGTAACCTTGATTGTTACAGAGCTTCTTTCCTCATATTTGCATTCACAGCGCAGACAGTATGCTTCTATGTCAGGCTCCCTCACAGACATGAGCTCCACAACATGAAGGCAATCGCAATCTTTTTGGGATATGTTCCTATTATAAATATGTCCAGGAATATCTTTATAGGGAGGACAAATACATTTACACGGAACATCCTTCGAATTCTTGGCGGCGTCGGCCGTCCACACCAGCAGCAGCACCGCCAGCGCCAGGCAGGACAGGCTGAGCAAGGAGCCGAGACGCGGGAGGCCTCCCCACGGAGTCGCCATCGCAGCCACACGGAGCGGCCACACCCAGCGGCCCCACAGCCCTGGGCCCCAGACCGGCTGCGGCTCCGGCTCCGGCTCAGGCCTCCGCCCGCACTTCCCTCCCGGCCTCCGTGTCTATATCAGAAGTTTTAATTTTCACTGGGAAAAAAAGAGTCTGATAAGAAATAATTGAAGATAAAATAAAATCTTTTCTTTTTCTTATTATTAATCCACCTAAAATATAATTGTTTCTTTAAAATATTAATAGCAACACTGTATTGGGTGATTAAAGCATACAGGTAATAAAATAAATAAATTTAAGGTCACAAGGAATTGAGAATATTCTGTTATGACACTTGGAATACTACGTGTGAAACAGTACAGTGTTATCTGAAATGAACTAAGATTAATTTTAAAAATGTATTTTAAACCTAGGATAAGCACTGAAATTTTTAAAAAAGAAGTATAAATATGCTGAGAGAAAATATAAAAAGGAATCAATAAAATGCTTAATTAAATCAGAGAAGGTAGAAAATAATAAGAAAACAGAAACAGTGGAAACTTAAATAGAAATCAGTTACATAGAAGGTAGATATTAATCCAACTATATAAAGAATACTTTACATGTGAGTGGTCTGAACATGCCAACTAAAAACAGATTGTCAGAGTGTATAGAAAAACTAGACCAACTATATGACTATAAAAAATTCAATTTAAAGACTCAAAGAAGTTAAATATAAAGAGATAAAGATACCATGATAACATTAATCAAAAGAAAGCTGGAGTAGTATATTAATGTCAGATAAGCAAACATCAGAATAAGAAAAATTATCAGGGATAAAATTTATATAATGATAAAGGAGTCAATTCATCAAGAAGACATAACCATCATTAATGTGTATGTACCTAAATACAGAGCATCAAAATTCATGAGGAAAAAACTGATAGAAAGGAAAGGACAAATGGAGAAATTTACTATTATTCTTGGAGACTTCAACATGCTTCTGTCAGTAATTTATAGATCATTCAGGCAGAATATTATTAAGGCTATAGATAACCTGAACAACACTATTAATCAACTTTCTCTGGTTGTCAGTTATGGAACACTCCATCCTAAAACAGCAGAATATACATTCTTTTCAAGTTTACATGGGAGTCACCAAGATAGACCATATTTGGGTCATAAAACACATCTTAAATTTAAAATAATATAAATCATACAAAATCTGCCTTTAGATCACAATAAAATTATACTAGAAATAAAGAACAGAAAGATAGCAGAAAATCACAAAATATTTGGAAATTAAATAATGTAATTCTAATTAAACCATGAGTCAAAGAAGAAATGTTAAGAGAGATTTTAAAGTATCATGAATTAGCTACAGCTAAAACACTACATAGAAAAATTTATACCATAAAATGCATATAAGAACAGAAGAAAGATCTAAAATCAATAATGTAAGTTTCCACCTTAGGAAACAAAAGAAAGAAGAGCAAATTAAACTTTAAGCAAGGAGAATAAATGAAATAAATATTAGAGCAGAAATCAACAAAATTGAAAATGATAAAACAATAGAGAAAAACAATAAAATTAAAATGCTGATTCTTTAAAAAGTTGAAAAATATGCTAAGAAACATCAGACAAATCTCAATTGAGGAACATTATAAAAATTCTTAATAAGTAAGTACTCCTAAAAACTATCAAAGTTGTGAAAAACAGGAAGGCAGGGAAGGGTGGAGGTAAGGGAGAGAGATCAACCAAAGGACTTGTATGCATGCATATAAGCATAACCAATGGACACAGACACCATAGGGCTGAGGGCATGAGGCGGGGGATGGGGGATAAGTACACATATGTAATACCTTAATCAATAAAGAGAAAAATTCACATTTAAAAAAGAAGAAACTACCACAGCTAGTGAAGAGTCTAAGGAGACATGGTGACTAAATCTAACATGGCAGCCCAATTGGAATCCTGGAAATAGACAAAGAACATTAGATAAAAACTAAGGAAATCTGGAAAAAGTATGGCTTGTAGATAATAATGCATCAATATTGGTTCATTAATTGTGACAAATATGCCACACTAATGGAAGATATTAACAACAGAGTGAAGTGTATATAGTATAAATATATGGAATGTCTCTGTACTAGCCTCACAACTTTTCTGTAGATATAAAACTCTTATGAAATAAAAATATTAAAGAAATACAAGACTTAAAAAGTATCTATTATTGGAAGTCCACTTGTTACATTTACAGAAAATGTTTTTATTTCAACTTTTGACTTAACATACATCATGGCCATTGACAATTGTGCCTATTGTGTTATTAAAAAGGCCTGCATTAGTGTAACTTAGAATTTTACTCATTTTAAAGTACTCCTGCTTTACTTGTTTTTATCTTTATTGTTGAAAGTATTACAGATCTCCCTTTGTTTGTGTGGGGGTTTTGCCCCTAACCCCTTGACCCCGTATCCGCCCCTCCCAGGCCTTCACCACTCTATGGTCTGTGTCCATGGGTTATGCATGTATGCATATAAGTTTGCGGGTTGATCACTCCCCTCCCACTCCCTCACCCCCGCCTTCCCTCTGAAATTTGTCAGTCTGTTCCATGGTTCTATGTCTTTGGTTATATTTTATTAATCAGTTTATTTTGTTCATTATATTCCACATATGAGTGAGATCATGTGATACTTATCTTTCTCTGACTGGCTTATTTTGCTTAGCATAATAATCTCCAGGTACCTCCATGCTATCTTAAAGGGTAATAGATCCTTCCTTTTTACAGCTGCATAGTATTCCATTATGTAAATGTACCACAGCTTTTTTGATCCACTCATCTACTGATGGGAGCATGGACTGTTTCCAAATCTTAGCTATTGTAAATTGTGCTACTGTGAACATAGGGGTACATATATTCTTTCTGATTGGTGTTTCTGATTTCTTAGGATATATTCCTAGAAGTGGAATCACTAGGTCAAATGGGAGTTTCGTTTTTAATTTTTTTAGGAAACTTCATAGTATTTTCCATAGTGGCTGCACCAGTCTGCATTTCCACCAGCAGTGCACTAAGGTTCCCTTTTCTCCACATCCTCACCAACACTTGTCCTTTGTTGATTTGTTGATTGTAGACATTCTGACAGGTGTGAGGTTATACCTCATTGTCATTTTAATTTGCATCTCTCAGATGAATGGTGACTTTGAGAATTTTTTCATATGTCTCTTGGCCTTCTGAATGTCCACTTTAGAGAAGTATCTATTTCGGTCCTTTGCCCATTTTTTAATTGAATTGTTTGTCTTCCTTTTGTTAAGTTGTATGAGTTCCCTATATATTTTGGAAATTAACCCCTTATCAGATGTATCATTGACAAATATGTTTTCCCATGCAGTGGACTCTCTTTTCAATTTGTTGATGGTTTCTTTTGCTGGGCAGCAGTTGTGCAGAAGCTGTGCAGAATCCTCTTCCGAGGCACCTCGAGTTCTCATCCCCCTCCCTACACCAAAGTCTCGGGTGAGTAGCTGCAAATGAAAACTCCTGTGCTCTGGGTTTAAAAAACAAAATAAAAAAGAAACTGCAGCTTTCTTTCTGGCTCTGGTCTGCTAGCTCCAGACTCCACCGCCACAGCCAGCAGCCCTGCCACCTTTCACAGATGGATGTTACTTGGGCAGCGGGTCTAGGATCTGGTGCTCTGGGCTGTGGAGCCCAGCCTGGGTTCCAGGCCTCTATATTCTGAGGGAAAAGACCCTCCTGTAGTCCAGTGCTCCATTCTCTGTCTCAGCCCCCGACCAGCTTGCTACCCCTGGGAGCTGGGTCAGCTCCTCTTGCAACATCGCCCTTCCTACCATTTTCCAGGTGTTTTCTGTCCTTCCTTGAGATGTCTCCTCCTCAGCTGCACCTCAGTTGGTAATTCCAGGTGAATGTTACCCAATTTAGTGGTATTTCCACTCTGGCCCTGGGTGTGAGAAAGGCCTGCCTCTTCGGCCACCATTTTTTTCTCCTTTTTCAAAGTACTTTTGCTTCAAAATAATGTATGGTATAGATGCAAATTCTAAATGAAATGAAAAGACAAGCTTTACATTTTTAGATGACATTGATTCTACATAATCAACAAATAATCTCCCTCTAAAAGCCCCCAAACATGTAGGAAACAGAAGAACAAAATATATTTTATGTTAATAATATAGTACACAACAGTTGACAAAAAGAATCAAATAAAGACATAAAAACTGAATCTGCCTTACTCTCATATCCCAGTCTCAACAAAGATATCCAAGTAATAAACAAAAATAAATCTAAAGAGCTATAGAATGATTCCAAGGCAAGAGGGATGAGGCGATGAATTGTTTCACAGCATAATCTCCCAAAGAGCATACGAAAACCCCCTCATTGGACATTGAGCTTGAGACTAAGCTTTGCCCGTGCTTCACAATACGCTACTTGGCATTTAATCACTGTGATCAACAGCACTTTGTGGGCTGACCTTACAGATCAAGAACTAAAATGCAAAGACAAGTCTATAATAGGAAGATAGGTATAGTATAGAAATATTCAACCTTTTAACTTAGTTGTTTCTCATATTTCTCATGACCCAGGGAAAGAATAGCCAACTAATTCTCAAAAGCAATACTTAGTACAACAATTTTATATCTCAACACTCTTGCTACCTCAGGACAATATTTTCAGACAAATATGCATTAGAGTTTTAATTATAGTCTTAGTCATTTATTCACTTTTGGTGTGTTATGGGTTTTTTTGTTGTTGGTTAATTTTATTTTTCCCAATCACCTTTTATCCCTCTATGCCCTCCACCACCTCCACCCATCCCCCTCCATTCCTTCAATCACCACACTGTTGTCCATATCCATGATATTTAATTTTTTAAATAAAGAAAAGTTCCAAATTTGTGTAGAAAGTACCTGTAATATCTGAAAATATAGACAAATACATAAAATATTATCAAGAACATGTTCAATCTGTAAAATATTAATAAGATAGTGTTATCTGAGTTTCCATTCTTTAGGGCTACGATGAAGATTGATATAGTACATGATTCCAGAAGCATTACTACTTGAGGGAGGGGAGAAAATGGAAAACA